CTTCCCTTCCTTGTTGTGACATCTCTGACTCTCTTTTCATTTTTTCCTGTGTCTTTTCATCCAAAAGATTTTGAATTTGTCCATTTATTGAACTCAGCGCTTTTTTGTACGATCCCATGGTATCCATATAGTGCTTCCTCAGTTTATTTTTATCGATCGGCTTTCCTTCCTCTTCTGGAACATAATCCCGACAGTCTATGTAGGCTCTCTTGACCTGGTCCCATGCAGAGTCCAACTCAATTCGTGTTGTTTCCAAAGTATGTACCGTGTCATCAGGTTTGGTTATTGAAAAAATTGAAATATAATCCAGAAGATCGTTGACGCAATTTGTGAATTTATCGCTTAAAGTTTTATCCATTTTGAAAACTGAGCGTTAACCTTTACGAAATTTTGTTGGTTTACAAAAAAGAAAAGTTGCCCAATGAAAAGGACTAACTTGGTTTAGAATTTAAACTTTTATCCAAATTTTGATTTTTTAAAATGAGGATAAGTTTTTTTTTTCCAATATTGGTCGACGAAAACGATCCTATTTTATTGGTTTGAGTCAAATTATATTTCGTTCCTTTCAATAATCAAAAGTTTTTAAAACAGAAGTGTTTAAACGAGAATTGCAAATTACCAGAGATGTTTTTTCCAAAAAAAAAACGAGAGTCTAATTTGATTGTCAACGAGAAGTTGAAAATCCCAAAAAAAAAAATTCAGAGAATCCAAAAAAATTTCAACGAAGTAAAAATGTGTGTTGGGTTGTCGAAAAAAATTTTAAAATTTTTTAGTTAAAATCACTTAATATCCTATGAAAGGAGGATTTTATTTTATAACCAATAACTTTGATTATTGCTTGTGAAAATTTGTCTGATTCAACAAATTTTCTAAATTCGCCAAATTTTTTCGATAAAATTCGCAACGAGAATTAGAGAAAATTATGTATGTATAAATCCAAATATTTCAGAAGAAATATTTCAAACAAATAATTTGGGTCAAAAATCCAAAAATTTGAGCAAAAATTTCCAAAAAATTTGATTTGGGTCAAGGTCCAAATATTTCAGCGGAAAATTTTATGTCCCAGCAAAATATTTCAAAAGAAAATAATTTGGGTCAAAATCCAAATATTTTCAGCATAAATTTCAAGAATTGCAGAAAAATTGAAGAAATTGCAAAAAAATTTAAGAAATTGCAAAAAAAATCCAAGGAAGAAATTTTTCCCAAAAAGTCGTGTAATGTGTCACAAAATCAAAAAAGTATACCAGCAAAATATTTCTGCGAAAAATGCAAGAAATTAATTTTGGGTCACAGAAAAAATTTTAAGCTCCTTAGAGCAATAAATATTGTGCTAAATGGGAAAAAAGGTTAAAATTAGAATAAAAATAAAAAATTGTAAATATATGGGATCGATTTTATGTCTGTCCACCAGACTCCGATATAAAATTTGTTCTCCAAAATTTTAAATAAATTTGTAGTTTAAGTTTCTCATGTATGTCTGTCCACCAGACGCTTGCTTTTTTTTTCCAAAAAATGTTTCAAAAAAAAATTAGGTTATTTTTCGTCTGTCCACCAGACGCTATTTTTTAAACGGGGTTTATTTACTCGTTTATGTATTCGGATGACGCCAAAATTTTCCAAAAAATATGGCGACTATATATTACAAGTGACGCTTTGTTTCAAAAGTTGTATATAAAATTGTTGTAATATGGCGTTTATATGCTTTCTTGGTGACGCCAACTTTCCAAAGTTAAAAGCTTATGTGTTTGTGTCAATATGGCGCTTATGTATTCGCCTGAACTCCACGTTCATAAAATTCCAGAATTTTTAGTATATATATATTTGGATATGGCTGAAAATTCCCGTTTTTTCAGAAAAGAATATGTCTGCCTGTTTTTCCCGGGTCAAAAGCCAACTGTCCGTCCAGGAAAATGGCTCAAAATTGGTAAATTTTCAGTCACTGTGTCAGAGTTGGCAACTAGCAGCTTTGAATATGGGTCAAAGTGTTATTGCAAATTATGGGAATATGCGGGTCAATGCAAATATTGAAGATTTGCTTGCTCCCGAAATGCCCTTTTGTGTCAAAAAAGAAAATTTCACGAGTACTCACTTTGATGTTGGGTTTTGGGTCTCGGTTGTTGTTGTTGTGCTGCGTGTGTCCGTCCTACTGCTGGCTCCAAAATTCTCCGTGTTGTGGTTGTTTCGCAATTTTCCTTTGCCACTGCTTTTTTCCACTGAATATTGTCTCTTTTGTGTCACTGTGTATTGTCTTCTTTGTATAAAAAAAATTTAATGTCACTTATTATTTTGTAAAATTTTTTGAGAATTGTATATTTTTTAAAATTAAAGAAAAAAATTAATTTTTCTAAAATTTTAAAAAATTTTATTATTTTTGTTGCACTGTGTATAGTCTCTTTTCGTTGCACTGTTCACTGTCTATTTTTTTTATTAATTGTTTTGTTTTTCAATATTTAACAATTTATTTTTCCTTTTTTGACTTTTTTGTTCTTTGCACTTATTTTTGCACCCACTGTATATTTCACTGTTCTTTTTTTTTTCACTGTTCTTTTTTTTTTCACTGTTCTTTTGTCCGTCCACTCACAAGTTTTTTTTCGTTTTTAATAATTTAAAAAACTTCACTTTTTTAATCCGGCTCTGGAGGACCAAATGTTTCTAGGCTTACCTTTTTTGCCTTTGAGCCTTTTGAAATAATAAGAAATTAGTTTTGTTTTTTATTTTGTGTTTTTATTTATTATTATTTAGATTTTTTCCCAGGGGTAATTGCAATATAGAGGTAACATTAGGTTTTAGGTTTTTGCAATTTATTTTATGTTTTCAATAGTTCATAAGTTTTATTTAGTTTATTTATTTTCGTACATTTTAACTCACTAGTTTCTAAGTTTCAATTCACTAGTTTTAAGTTAATATATTCTTAAATTAATTAGTTTGTAGGTTTTAGAATTCAAAACTTTCGTTGCATAATTTCACCTTCTTGTTGTACGTTGTTTGGCTCTTTATGTTGTAACTTCACTGTTTTATGTCTCTATTTTTTGTAAAAGTTGTGTTATTAGTCTTGTTATTTTGGGGTTTTGTATTTACACTTTCACTTGTCACTCGGGGGGGAAACTCGCGTTCGCGCTAAGAATTCGATGAGAACTGATTATTGCCAAATTTGCATCGTCACATCAAACCTGTTTTGGCTGTTGACGATGCTTAGTTATTAGAATTCAGCATTGGAATTTACCGGTGGCTGCATAAATGTATGTGTGTATGTGTATGTATTTACATTATTTACATCATTTTGTTATGATGCCATTTATGCGGCCGCCGGTAAATGCCCAACCAACAGTGTTGGGCAAATTAATAGCAATATTATGAACACAACCTATCAAGCATTTAAAGCCCTATCAAGATGAAACTTTGCACAGAACATTTGTTTGGTCCAAGGACAAACCCCATTGAAATTGGAGATAATCGGTCAAAATATACCCTCCACCTTCCCATATATAGGGTGAGATAAAAAATGCCACAATTTTTACTTTTTTTTTTTAATTTTATTGAATGTCCGAAATAGCATCAAAAATGTCGGAAATAGCATCAAAAATGTAGGAAATAGCATCAAATTTTAGAATAAGTTTAGATTTGTTTGAATTGGTATTCTTTGGCATAAATTATGGCCTTCAAACGGCCCATGAAACCTTCACACGCTGTCCGAATGTTGCTCTGTGGTATTTTGGCCCATTGCCGGCGAAGTGCTTGCTTGAGGTGATCGACACTTTGGTATTATTTGGTGCCAACCTTGCTTTCCAAAATACTCCAGACACAATAGTCCAGCGGATTGGTATCCGGAGATTTTGGAGGCCATTGTGCGTGCACTGGAAATGAAGCGAGGAACCTAATTTTGCAACCATTCTTGGATGGCGCGTGCTGATTGCGATGGTGCTGAGTCCTGTTGAATGTCCAAGGTCTGCGGCCAAAATGTTTGCGTACCCAAGGCTTTAATACACCCTCCAGAATATTTTCGCGATAATATTCGACATATATTCTGATGCCACGGTCGATTAATACGAGCGGAGAGCAACCATCGGCTGTTATGGCGGCCCTCACCATCACCATGGCCGGCGCTTGAGTCCTGGTGGCCAACCGAAGGTGCACATTCAGCATCAGCTGACCTCTTTGGGAAGTAAACACGATCATTGTGTTTGTTTACAAACTGCTGGTCAACGAATGTTTTCTCATCGGAGAAAACTAAATTCGGCAGTTCACCACTTTCGGCCAAGCGAAGCAACTCTTTTGAGTCTATTTTCTTTCTGTTGCGTTGTAAGTTCTTGTTCTTTTTGGAATTTCAATGGCTTTACCACGAGCTTATTTTTCAATATTTGCCGAATGGTATATTGGGATATATTCTGTTCAGCTCACGAGCCAATTTTCGGCCACTGCGACGCGGGTTTCGATCAAATCGCTTCGCATCATTACTTTTTGAACCATTTCTGCTGATGTTGCTGTTTTCTTCCGTCCACTTCCTTGACGTGGGGCTACGCTACCAGTATCACGCTAACGAGCGTTGGTACAAGACAAACGATTTATTCACATTTAAATGCTGGAGTGCTCTAACGATAGCCACTTGTGGTTTTCCAGCCAAATATAAAGAAATCACAGTATCACGCTTAAATTCCATTACGAATAACTTTTTTTTCTGGAAAATTTTCCCCAAAATACCCTTGTAAACAGTATAATGAGCTGTCAATGGAATAATTTTAACAGCCGTCGGACGAGTGCCTTGGAAATGACAGCAGTCTGAAGTTGGTTGCAGTTTTTTTATCTCACCCTGTATATACCTTCTCTAGCCATATGGCTGTGGCTATAAAAATCTATTTCCAATTCTAGAAGGACAAAGGAGAACTAAAATGACCCCCCTTCTATTTCACCTTCTTCCAACGTAAAATTTTATAAATTTCTTTCAACTATTTATTTTAACTTTACTAAACGTATATTCATTTTATTTATTTTTTAATTTATAGAAAAAGGTTTGGATCACATTGGCGAAAATATTCTATCGTATTTGGATGCTGATTCCTTGAAGGCGGCTGAATTGGTTTGCAAAGAATGGCTTCGTGTCATATCGGAAGGTATGCTATGGAAGAAATTGATTGAACGCAAGGTTCGCACCGATTCCCTATGGCGTGGATTGGCCGAACGCCGTGGATGGATTCAGTATCTGTTCAAGCCACGTCCTGGTACTATACACAGACCACACTCTTTTTATCGGGCATTATTTCCTAAAATTATGAATGTAAGTAAACAAAAAGAAAATGCCATAGAAACTTGTTATTTGAAAAAGAAATCATTTATCTCCACCTCCGCAGGACATTGAAAGTATTGAAAACAATTGGAGAACTGGCCGTCACATGTTACGTCGCATCAATTGTCGTTCGGAGAATTCAAAAGGTGTTTATTGCTTACAGTACGATGATGTTAAAATAGTATCTGGTCTTCGTGATAACACTATTAAAATATGGGATCGTACGGATTTGCAGTGTGTTAAGGTAGGTTCAGAAATGAATTGTAAAGGGTGATAATTTATTCTATATTTGACTTTTTGCAGACTCTAACCGGGCACACTGGCAGTGTTCTATGCCTACAATATGATGACAAAGTCATTATCAGCGGTTCATCCGATTCAACGGTACGCGTCTGGGACGTCAATACCGGTGAAATGGTCAATACACTTATTCACCACTGCGAAGCCGTTCTACATTTACGTTTCAATAATGGCATGATGGTTACCTGCTCTAAAGATCGTTCCATTGCCGTTTGGGACATGACCTCGCCCAGCGAAATAACACTGCGTCGTGTTTTGGTGGGTCATCGTGCCGCTGTCAATGTTGTTGATTTTGATGAGAAGTATATTGTATCAGCAAGTGGTGATCGTACAATTAAAGTGTGGTCGACATCCAGTTGTGAGTTTGTCCGAACATTGAATGGCCATAAGCGTGGTATTGCCTGTCTACAATACAGAGATCGTTTGGTGGTCAGTGGAAGTTCAGATAATTCGATAAGGTAAGTTTGCGATTGTTGTTGTTTTTTGGAAGATTTCAAATGGTGTACTTTTTTATCTTTTTTTGTAGACTCTGGGATATTGAATGCGGTGCTTGCCTACGCGTGCTTGAGGGCCACGAAGAACTGGTCCGTTGCATACGTTTCGATTCAAAGCGCATTGTAAGCGGAGCTTACGATGGCAAAATCAAAGTTTGGGATTTAGTAGCAGCCTTGGATCCAAGAGCTCAATCAAATTCGTTATGTTTAAATACTTTGGTGGTAGGTATTAAGAGAATATTTATATATTTTTTGGGAAAATAAAATAACATTTTTTAAAATCCTTCTTTTTTTGAAATATAGGAGCACACTGGTCGTGTTTTCCGCCTGCAGTTTGATGAGTTCCAAATTGTCAGCAGCTCACATGATGATACAATATTGATATGGGATTTTCTGAATTTCACACCAAATGAAAATGCAACAGTTCGCACACCTTCACGTAAGTATAGTTTTTAAAAAATGAATTTACAAACTTATGATGTACACTTTGGACACTTGGTATAAAAGTTTTCCACAACATTTGGGTCTACGACCTGGAACGATGGGAGGGGTGGTCTCCTAGTACAGTGTTCACTCTACAGGGTGTGATAAAAAACTGCAACAAAGTCAAACGCCATATTTTTTTTTAATTTTATTGAATGAATGCAAAAAATGTCGGAAATAGCATCAAAATTTAGAATATATTTAGATTTGTTCGAATTGGTCACCTTTGGCACGAATTATTACCTTCAAACGGCCAATGAAACCGTCTGCTGTATTTTGGCCCATTCCCGGCAAAGCGCTTGCTGGAGGTGATCGACATTTTGGCATTTTTAGTGCCACCAAAAAACTCCAGACACACTAGTCCAACGGATTGATATCCGGAGATTTTAGTGGCCATTTTGCGCTGAAAATAAAGCGAGGTACCTCATTTTATGACCATTTTTGGGTGGCGCTTGCTGCGTGCGATGGTGCTGAGTCCTGTTGGAATGTCCAAGGTCTGCGGCCAAAATGTTTGTGTGCCCAAGGCTTTAATACACCATCCAGAATATTTTCGCGATAATATTCGGCATTTATTCTGATACCACGGTCGATTAATACGAGCTTTTGTCCGCTTGTAAACAAGATATTGAGCTGTCACAGGAATAATTTTAACAGCTGTCGGACGAGTGGCCTAGAAATGACAGCAGTCTGAAATTGGTTGCAGTTTTGTTCATCTCACCCTGTACATCCGTCCATGACTTCTGAGACCGCTTTAGAGTGCATACTATTCAGTCCCGCTTGATAGGTCTGTCCCTTTCCTTATGTGCCTGGGCGGAGGTTGCCTATCCACCAGATAGTAATTCGGATGACTCTGTCTGTAACACACAAGCAGGTATTGCATGGACAACGTTTTATTATGCTGTCGCACCGGTAAAACCTTCCCTTTTCATGTAGGTAGTCGATAGGTGTCAAGAGGAGGCACCCTCTTGCGGTTCTAAGGGCGGCATTCTGGCAGGACTGAATATTTTTCACTGCGTAGCACTAACGTTCAGGGACCACACCGGAGCCGCATAGTTGTACCTTGTTCTTCTGTTTATGCTAAGTGCTTGCCATCTAAGTCTGCTATTCGCAGAGGCGCCCAGGTATCAGCCAGGAATATTCTGAATAATATTACCAGGAATATTCTAAAATTGCTGTTTTCCAGCTTGTAAAAGCGAGTTGAGTTCCTCATATTAGACTCTTTTATGTTTTATCCAATCCTCTCTGCTAGATTCCAGGATCTCAGCCATATGGCTAGAGAAGGGTATATATCATTGGCGAATTTCATGTTTCAAAAGAATGGCCAGACATAATCTTTACCGGGGGTTTTTGCAGAAGATGTTCCTTCTTTTTCTGGGTTATCGAGTTCTTGCTGGAGATGGTCCTTCCTTCCTTTTTCACAAGTTCTGATGTAGTTTTTAAGAAACTTCCTCAATCTTCTGCATCATATTCCATTGTAAAATCTATTATTTATCTAGTTTGGATGATTTGAATTCGCCACACATTTTCAAACAAATTTCTAGCTCTTATTCCAACCCCTATGATACCTTCCATATCAATAATTCAATAACTTTTATTTATTCCATTTCAGCCGCTCTCATGGAACATTAACATTATTTACATGATCAGATGCATCTACATGATGGTAACTAATAATGGAGTAAAACGAATTAACCAATTGTGTTTTTATTTCAAAAGGCACCATTGTAAATTACGAAAGAAAAAAATAAAATGTATTCCGTTTCAGTTGTGCAGCCGATCTCTAATTATTAACAAAACAAAAAAAGATTTAAAAAAGAAACTCACTTGAAAATCATAAAAGTTGGTTCAATTAGAAGAGAAGAGTGTAAACAATGATGAAACAACAACCCCCCCTCCCCAACACATTAATATGTTTAGATCACTAAGGCATTACGAAGATAATAAAAAGAGTGGTACAAATCACAAAAATATTTACGATCAGCATCCTCATTTCAAGTAAAACATCAAATTAAACCAACCATTTAATTAAGTATTTGATATGTCTACAATTAATTTGTTTTAAATTATTGAATTGATTTACGATTCCCAAATTATTATCAAAATGTACAGCCTTTATTTATTATCTTCGTACTAAAACACTCAACATAACTGCAATTATATAATTTATACTCTCCTCCTCCTGCTCCTCCACCTTCATTTCTCCCATAAAAATTCAAATAAAGTTATCCAATGAATTGGGAAGAAGGGTATCTCAATTCGAATTGTAATTAAAAAAATTTTAAAATTTTGTTAAATTTCTAAAACTACATATGTTTGTTTGAAAAGAAGAAAAATACGTAAACATTGCACATTGCAAAAGTGGCTGGCATCTCATATTAACGTAAAATTCAGAATTTCCCCCTTTGCCTACTTTCTCCTACTTCCCTACTTGAGGGCAATATATACAGATAAAAAAAAATAAAATATAAAAAATCCATTATGAAAATAATACTATATATTATAAATAAAACAATATTGAAGAACTTGAAACAAAAATACAAATAAAAACAAATTGTTTGAATGATTATAAAATGAATGACCCCAGAAGATTATTTACACACAGATCAAATAAGAGTTATTACAAAATTGATTGATTACTTGAAATATATAAACGAATGCAATATTTGAAAAGTGTAATGTAAGAATAGTTTTCAGCCTTTTATTTTGAAAACAATTTGCTTTTTTATTAAAAATCATAAATTTGTTTTATATTTGTGTTAATAAATACCTACACCGGATGTTACCATTCACTAGAGCATGATATCTATCTGTCTATCTATCCATTGGGAGGACGATATATATTTCAACTCGATTTTAAAATTGCAATAAACAAATTTGAGGTTTAAATTATAACCGAATGTAATCTAAACAATACAGGGCTGGAAGTATGGTTCTGCATATTATTGTTGCTTAATTACTGCCAACATAAAGGGTATCGATAAAATGTTGGAATACTACATTCAAAGGTCCTTGGCGAATAGAGCGAAACCAGGAAATGTCCCAAACTTCTATACCTTTTTGCTAGCACAAGAGCAAAGATTCTCTCTTGGACCGTCGTGACACAACAAGGAATAGCGACCTAAGGTTAACATATTTACAATAAAGATCCATGGTAGAAGAATATAGGTAGATGCATCAACGCTTGGGAACATTGATGCGTCAAAATTTTTCAATGTTTCTTCAAAAATAAGTAGGTTTGTATATGTTTTTCTATACAAGATTGGAGATTGTTATGATATGCATTTTTTAACAATTTTTACAAATTTATATAAATTTTCATTCAAAAATTTCAATTCCAAAATTGCTTTGACAGTTCATTGTCCCAGCAGCTTTGTCGATGCGACTACCTATATTCTTCTACCATGAAAAGAACAATTATCATTGAATGCGGCGGAGGAATCGTTTGTTTTATATGTGCATCCATTAAAAACAACAAAAAATACTAGCATCAACATATATGTGTAAATGTATTAATAATCTGCAAAACAAAAATTGCCTAAAAATTAGCAAAAAAAAAACGAAAATTATTTGCGCTTGTGTTTCATTTTTTCACTCCACCCATTTTTTTGGATTTATATATTCTCATTTTTTTTTTCAAAAATATTAAGTTTAGACAAATTTTTTATAATACTGTTTTGTTTGCTTAAAAACAAATCTGCTCTGATGATGACTTGCCATTTTGGCATTTTAGATAAATTGGTTCAATAAATTAAAAATAAAAATTATATTTGCATATTATAATATATATTAATTTATAGCTGTAGTTGTATACTATAAACGTGTGTATTTGTGCAAACGAATATATCAATTTTTAAACAATTTTATTTTATTATTTTTTTATTTGTTATTCGAAATAAAGACAAATATGATTATTTTTAAAATTTATAAAAATGAGAACGAAAGAAATAATAAAGTTAGTATTTAGTTTTAAATTTCATGTGTGTTTTCATTGTTAAGGATGTGCAATACGAAGGGGAGTTGGGGGAGGGTTTAAAAGCTAGCACCTACAGGGTGAGAAGAAAAAACTGCAACCAGCCACTCGTCAGACAGGTATTAAAATTATGCCAGTGACAGCACATTATATTGTTTACAAGCGTACAAAAGCATTTTGATGAGAACTTTCCAGAAAAAAGGTATTTGTGATGGCATCCCAGCTTGATAGTGTGATTTCTTTATATTTGGCTCTAAAATCATAAGTGGCTATCGTTAGAGCACTCCAGCATTTAAATGTGAATAAATCTTTTGTGTCTCGTGATACTGGTAACAACAGCAACATCAGCAGAAATGGTTCGAAATGTATAGAACCGACATGATCGAAACCCGCGTCACAGTGGCCGAAAAATGGCTCGTAATATTTCCATTCAAATATTGAAAAATGAGCTCGGGGTAAAGCCATTAAAATTCCAAAAAGTGCAAAAACTTACACCGCAACAGAAAGAAAAAAGAGCTAAAGTGTTGCTTCGCTTGGTGGAAAGTGGTGAACTGCCGAATTTGGTTTTCTCCGATGAGAAAACATTCATTGACCAGCAGTTTGTAAACAAACAAAATGATCGTGTTTACTTGCCAAAGAGATCATCTGAAAATGTACATCTTCAGTTGGCCAACAGAACTCAAGCGCTGACCATGGTAATGGTGTGGGCCGAGCCGTCATAACAGCCGATGGTCGCCCTCCGCTCGTATTAATCGACCGTGGCATCAGAATAAATACCGAATATTATCGCGAAAATATTCTGGAGGGTGTATTAAAGCCTTGGGCACGCCAACAGGACTTTGCAGCATCGCACTCAGCACGCGCCACCCAAGAATGGTTACAAAATGAGGTTCCTCGCTTCATTTCCAGTGCACAATGGCCACCAAAATCTCCGGATACCAATCCACTGGACTATTGTGTCTGGAGTATTTTGGAAAGCAAGGTTAGCACTAAAAAATACCAAAGTGTCGATCACCTCAAGCAAGCGCTTCGCCGGGAATGGACCAAAATACCGAAGAGCAACATTCGAGCAGCGTGTGACGGTTTCATTGGCCGTTTGAAGGCCATAATTCGTGAAAAAGGTGACCAATTCGAACAAATCTAAACTTGTTCTAAAATTTGATGCTATTTTCGACATTTTTTGCTTTAATTCAATATAATTTTAAAAAAATGTAAAAAGTATGGCCTTTGACTTTGTTGTAGTTTTTTTATCTCGCCCTGTATTGAAAATTGCTTCTTTTGGATAGATGGGTAAGGGGAAAGAAAATGGAAAACGGCGATTCCTTTTTATTTTTATGCTCCAGAACTTCAAGAATGTAATAATTTTTACTACGATAAACGATTTTCCCTTTATAATATCAAAAAAGTGTTCAAAAATGAACGATATAAATTACTCATGAAATTACCAAATAAGTAAACTCGCCTTGTATCCGGAGTAAAGGCAAATTCAAAAAAAAAAAATAAATAAAAAAGGTGCAAGTAAACTCTGAAAATATGAAATGATTTTTTATACAAATTTTCAATTGACATATCTGTCCTTTCTAAAAATTGTCATTTTACATTAACAACAATTGAGTCCAGAAGAATACAGACTACAGGTAGAAGCATCAACGCTTTGGAGCATTGATATGTCAAAAATTTAAATGTTTTTTCAAATATAAGTAGAAATTTATATGTTTACTTATACTACGTAATTCGGAGTTTATTATAATTAATTTTTCAATAATTTTTACAAATTCAAATAATTTTTCATTCCAATTCCAAATTTTTTTTGACAGTTCATTGTCCCAGCAGCTGTGTCGAAGCGTCTACCTATATTTTTCTACCAAGTGTCATTCCAAAATTAACATGCGTATAACAGGGTGACACAGTTAGCTCAGCTGTTCTCTTCTTTTTTAATTTCAATTCTGGTTTAATTAAAATGTTTTTTTTTAACATTTAAACTTAAAAATTATGAAACTCTATTTGCTATTTTATTATTTTTTTATTGTATTTTGTAAAAATTGTTGAAAAATACATATTATATCAACCTCCGATTTGCGTCATATAATAAAACATGTAAAAATCTACTTATTTTTGACAAAACATTTTGAAAATTTTGACATATCAATGTTCCCAAGCGTTGATACATCTACCTATTTTCTTCTACCATGTTAGTTCCTCTACAAATCAAGTGGGATATTGTCCATATTCATACTTATCCTACCTGCAGTAAATTATACTTTTACGCAAAATTCAACCATTCGATAATCAAATCTCTCTAAAAGGCGTGAAAATGACAAAATATTTGTTTGGAAATAAATCTCAATTTATTTGCAGCGGTACGCCCACATTTGAGGAAGAACTACAAAATATAATGCATTTTACAATTGTTTTGTTCCAGAACTGCAGAACTTAAAACTTTTTACTACCATAACAGATTTTGTCCTTTATGATATCCAAGCATATTTCCCTTGTTGTTTAGTACTGGCCAGTACTGGCATTTAGTCCGATAATATCGATAGAAACAGCAATCAATCGAAACACCAAATTTCTTCAATACAAACCATCGATACTATCGATTTGGCCATCGATTGTTTGCCAACCATACATCGCAATTATTTTGCACATTTTTCCGGTAAAGTTATTTATTTTATTGCACACTTCAAACAGAACGAATATTATCGTAGTGTGGAGCAAACGTTTTGTTGAATATTATTTAAACATTTTATATCATTAACTAGTTTTAATCGTTTCGATTTTCCCTGTGTTGTACTTTTAAAAAATAGTCGAGACAGTTTGTGAAGTTTGTCGGTAGCTGCGATTGTGTATACTTGCCTGCCTGCGAAGAAGCATTGTTTTGGCGGGAGCCCTTGTTTGTTGCTTGGCTTCATCATCCTGTAAATAATTTGTTGCTGCATTTTTCTTGTTTTGCGAAGGTTTTGAATAATGGTGGATCGTAGCGACAATGGTAAGATAAAAAGTGTGTTATTTTTTTCTATTTGTTGCAAAATATTTATATTACAATTGATAAATAGCGGAATCGTTCGATGATGCTGTCGAAGAGCGCGTCATCAATGAGGAGTATAAGATTTGGAAGAAGAATACACCATTCCTTTACGATTTGGTAATGACTCATGCTCTGGAATGGCCGTCGTTGACAGCACAATGGTTACCTGATGTGACCAAACAGGAGGGAAAAGATTATTCAGTTCATCGTCTCATTTTGGGTACGCATACGTCGGATGAACAAAATCATTTGTTAATAGCAAGTGTGCAGCTGCCCAGTGAAGATGCTCAGTTTGATGGCTCACACTATGACAATGAAAAGGGTGAATTTGGCGGGTTTGGTTCAGTATGTGGAAAGATAGAAATTGAAATTAAAATCAATCATGAAGGTGAGGTGAACAGAGCCAGATATATGCCGCAAAACGCTTGCGTTATTGCCACCAAAACACCCTCAAGTGATGTTTTGGTATTCGATTACACGAAACATCCAAGTAAGCCAGAACCCTCAGGTGAATGCCAGCCTGATTTGCGTCTAAGAGGCCATCAGAAAGAAGGCTATGGTTTGTCCTGGAATCCCAACTTGAATGGTTATCTTTTGTCGGCTTCTGATGATCATACCATCTGCTTGTGGGACATCAATGCAACGCCAAAAGAACATCGTGTCATTGATGCCAAGAATATATTTACTGGTCACACCGCCGTCGTTGAGGATGTGGCTTGGCATTTGTTGCACGAATCGTTGTTCGGTTCAGTTGCTGACGACCAAAAACTTATGATTTGGGATACACGCAACAACAATACATCAAAGCCATCGCACACCGTTGATGCCCATACCGCTGAAGTTAATTGTCTTAGCTTCAATCCATATTCTGAATTTATATTGGCGACTGGCTCGGCTGATAAAACTGTTGCTTTATGGGATCTCCGCAATCTAAAATTGAAATTACATTCCTTTGAATCTCATAAAGATGAAATTTTCCAAGTACAATGGTCGCCCCATAATGAAACTATCTTGGCTTCATCGGGAACTGATCGTCGTCTGCATGTCTGGGATCTCTCCAAAATCGGTGAAGAACAAAGTGCTGAAGACGCAGAGGATGGTCCCCCCGAGCTGTTGTTCATACATGGTGGTCATACGGCAAAGATATCAGATTTTTCATGGAATCCCAATGAGCCATGGATCATATGTTCTGTATCCGAAGATAATATTATGCAAGTTTGGCAAATGGCTGAGAATGTTTACAATGATGAAGAGCCAGAAATACCAGCCTCTGAATTGGAAGGAGGAGCCGTATAATTTCACTCTGGCGATAACGAGCTATTTTGAAAATCGCTCTGGCGAAAGCATGTGGTTATAAACTCGATTTGTAGAGTATTTTTTGTATTGAAATGTCTATGCAGCAGCAAATTTACACACAATAAATTATTTTAATCTTTAAATTTTTGTTTTTTTAAATTTTCTGGGTATATTGGGTAAAAATAAAAAGCTCCTATTATTTGTGTATACACAACTTTATTTAACTTAGTCGAGATAGTATGTATATTTCTTATTAAATATATCTATACTAATGTCCAGTGACCTTGCAGCCTTCAGACTGCGCTTACATTTTATTGTACCACGAATTACATCACCCTCCTTGACCGCTTGTGGTTGTTCTATAAAGAAAACCACTTGCTTCCAATGTGTTGGGGTTGAGTTGGGCGAAGTACTAAACATCACCGGTTCGGGCAACTCGAAGTAATTATCAAAATATCCCACCAAAGAGGATATACTTCCGTCCTTAACACATTTGAGTTCAAAATTATAATCAAAATTAGAATAATTTAGATTGACAGTCATTAAATTCAAATCGGCAATACAATTCGATTCCGTTAGTATGTGCTTTGGATCAACAACATCAATAAGAGGTTCATGCATAACCTCTTTTCTCATTGTGGACATGTCCAACCCGTAGACATCATTCCAAAATGTAACATGCTGTTTGAACAATGCATCATTGCCATAGCCAACAATTGACATTGTGCAGCGATTTGGTAAAAGTATGCCATTTTCCTTTAAGTGGTTATCTCGGGCGTAAATAACGCTATCCAACATTCCCTCGAAAAGGAGAAAGTAGCCCATCCACTCTGAAACAATTATGTCAAATTTCTCAATGGGCAAATTTGTTTCTTCCAAGCGGCCTTTAACCAGGGTGACGTTTTCTATATTGTTTTTCCTAAAAAGATATATCAAAAAATCTATGTAAAAACTGCACTCTTTTAAGATAACAGAATCCTACTTAACAATATCCATGGCATTGTATATGATGCTTGAATTGTCAATGCCCACAACCTTCTCGGCTCCAGCTTGGGAGGCGAATATCGACAGGACTGACGTGCCACACCCAACATCGAGCACAAGTTTTCCCTTAACATAGTCCTTATTCTTCATTAGGGCATCACGATAGCTGGAGGTTCTCACGGTATCCTAGAGGTTTTTGGAGTAATTTTTAAATTGAAGAAAATAAAAATCCTAATCTGTTACTTACCGAAAGCATTTCATGATGTATACCAAAATGGGCATAACTGTCAAAATAACTTTCATCAGCCTTAACCGGTACGGAAGAAACACATCGTACTTTTGGATCCTTGGTACTATTATCTTTTTCTAAGAGTCGATGAAAGCCCTGTCGAAGAGTAGCCATATCTTTGGCAGCCTGTTCCAATTGATCTTGTTGTATTTTAATTTGCTCTTGCAAAGAGTGCACCAATAAATTTACATCCTTTTCTTTGGTACAGCTAGGTGCTCCCTCTGATGGCAGGGCTTCGTAATCTGTAGTTAAAAATGCCTATTAATTGCAATAACAAAATAACTTCAAAGCACTTACCATAGGTCAGCCATGGCTCATAATCTTTGGGTTTTAGATACTTTTCATCATTCCAAAAAGCTTCGGTGGCTGAATTGAGTTTTTCAACGGTTACACCCTCCTCTTGACGTATGTAATTTATTAGTTTTAAAAATGAATACTGATCCATATTGAATTTAGTCTTCATTTGACTAAAATTTATGCCATGTTGCTTGGTGATGTGTTCCAGGGCCAAATCAACAGATTTTAAAACTTCCGTACAGAATAGGCATGTGGTGGGTTCAGCATCATCCATTGATTCTTCTTCGGAGTCGTCGTCATCCGTAAAATCTGAATCATCTTCAATTGCACCATTTTTAACGGCCTCTGATTCCAATGATGGCATATCTGCGAAAAGCAGCAAATTTAAAATTTGTATTCCATTTATATTTTTTGCACATATTTACCTTCATGCTCCATTTTTTTAAATACTAAAATTGAGTAAAATACTTTATAAACAATTTAAATGCAAGACGCACGTGTGGAAGTCTGTCCAATTGGGAAATGGATAGTAAACAAAACATGTCTCTCTTGTCAAAATCATGCCGCAATCGATAAAGCAGTGATCGAAAGTGAGTTGGCAATGCGGCAGAGAAAAAATTTTTTGCTCTTTCTTTCTATAGGTCGATTTTATTATATTATCGAAACAGCTGTTTTTTGTTATTGTGTCAAATCTTGCATAACCTCCAATTTCGCGTCAATTACTCAAGAGAAAAAAAATGATATCGTCGGTTTGTAATTTTAATACTTCATTAATAAAATATGTCTTAGTAATTTAATATTTTATTGTAGATTGTGCGAAATCTCTTATATTCGCGCGTTCCCGCAGCTGGCATACGCTGTCTCGCCACAGAGGCATCGACAGTGGCTGCAACCACAAGCCAAGATGCTTCAAATAATTTACCTCCTGCATTGCCCGAAGAAAGGGATAAGCTTTACAGTAAATTAGAAATTGAGTTAAGAGGTATTGATCCTGCCGTCTTGAAGAGCTATTCATGGTTTGCAACAACCGCTGCAAATCATTTGGATATTGAAGTGGGCAAATGGTAAGTGAGTGGTTATTTGAGGGATGAACTTGGTAACTTGGCGGAAAGCGCTTTTCGCCTAACAATGGAAATACATTACACTTGGGACGTGCCCGAACATTTGACGCTAATGTTGGGCTACACGCCCGAGTTTTACTGACTTGATTACTACAAAATGAGTCATTCAAATTCATTGGATATAGCTATAAACAGCAGGGCGACCTCGTGTGAAGTCTTTTTTATACCCTCAGCCATATGGCTAGAGAGGGTATATATCACTTGATACGGCCAAAACATGCCTCATCGAAATAACGGTTCTAGACTCAGGCTCTCTGCGCCAAATCAGTTTCAGGACATTCGGAGTCGATCCAGCGATGTCCACAAAGGGTCAACATTTTGAATATTCGTGAAGCTCATAAAACACGAAGTTAATATCCGATTCCATTCAGACTTGGCACATCTGAATATTTTCATCAACACAAGATCTGTTAATAAGATAATAGAGATCGGACCATTCCTTCTAGTACCTCCCCCACAAAGGGTCAACATTTGAATTACCAAAGCGATCATAAAAGCCGAAATAACCATCCGGTTCTCTTCAAATTACACACATCATAATATTTTTATTAACCCAAGGTCTTGTGTGAAGATGGGACATATTGGTCCACTCCTTCTGGTACTTCCCCCACAAAGGGTCAAAATTTTCAATATTCTTGAAGCTTATAAAACACGAAATTAAAACACTTTCCACATCTCAATATTTCCATAAACACAAGATCTGTTAAAAAGATGATAGAGATTGGACCATTGCTTCTGGTACCTCCCCCACATAGTGTTCAAGATTTTGAAAAACAAAACGCTCAAAGAAAGCGAAAAAAGCATATAACTCTCTTCAAATCATCCACAATCGAATACGAATTGGCCAACTGCTTCGGAACCTCCCCCCAATAAAGGATCATCGCTTTCAATAATTACAACTCAAGGCTGGGTTTATACATCTATTAGCAAAACCGACTCATACTATTTAACTTGTCATAGACTTCAATTATGCGAAAATTATTCTTAAAACATTTTTGTGCTTCCATTAATACCACCTATTCCCCCATTTATTGTTTACAGCTGGTCACCGCGGAAGGCTCACAAAGAACGCATGACTCTTTTGAAATCGGTGCATATTTATAAAAAACATCGTGTTCAATATGAAATTCGAACATATTTCCGTTACATGAACTTCCACAAGTTAACCGGATCAACATTGGACACATTCTTGGAGTATATTGAACGTAATTTGCCCGAAGGTGTAGCATTGAATGCCACAAAAACCGAAATACAAGAAATACCCGAGCACTTGAGAGATGTTCCCCGTGAAAGTTAATTTTGTTTTTCGATAAGCTGTTGTTAGTGTGTTAAGAAAAAGCCAATAAAAAAGAATTACAAAAGATAATACGCTTTAACCAATCAATTTTATTTATTGTAATTTAAAACAAAACAAATAAACAATTTTTTGTATTGGAAATGTAAGATAATAGTTACAAACTGTTGAGATAGATAATACTGCTGAAATTTTGTTAAAAACAAATTAAACAGAACAAGTATAAAAGGTGTAAGTTCGGCCGGGCCGAACTTTGAATGCCCTCCACCATTTGGAACGAATTTGGTCATTTTCAATAACAATAAAAACCGTTAAAAATTATGTTAAAATCTTAAAACAACCGAATGTAGCCGTTATATTAGGGTCTATACGACGACATGGACCAGCATAGGTAACATTTGTCATAAGCCATTACAATATTCAAATCCAAAACTTAAAAAAAATCGGTGAATAATGTAGCTAAAATCATCAGAATACCGAATATCGGGAGGTACGGTTATATGGGGGCTATACGAAGACTTGGACCTGCACATAGGCTGTAGAATCCATTACGAACACCAAATACCAAGTTTGAAACAATTCCGGTGAATAGAGTCGCTAAAATCAACAAGGTACCGAATATCGAGAGATACCGTTATACGGGGCTATACGAAGACGTGGACCTGCACATACAATTTTCTGTCATAGGCTGTAGTATCCATTACGAATTTCAAATACCAAATTTAAAAGAATTCCGGTAAATAATGTAGCTAAAATCATAAAAATACCGAATATCGGGAGGTAGCATTATATGGGGGCTCTACGAAGACGTGGACCTGCACAGACAATTTCCTGTCATAGGCTGTAGCATCCATTTTAAACTTTAAATACCAAATTTGAAACAATCCCGGTGAATAATGTCGCTAAAATTATCAAAATACCGAATATCGGGAGGTACCGTTATATGGGGGCTATATCAAAACGTGGACCTACATGGCCCATTTTCAATACCAAAAGTCCTGCAAACATAATATACATTTGAGTAGAATTTTATCAATCTAATTCATTTCGTTCGGAAGCTAAAGTGATTTCCACAGACGGACGGACATCATTAAATCGACATAGAATTTTTTGCTGATCATGAATGGGGTCTAAAATATATATTTCGAGGTGTTACAAACGGAATGACAAACTTAATATAATATACCCTTCATACTATGGTGGAGGGTATAAAAAGCAGTAGCTTATTGTAAGTTATAAAAGTAGATACCGGTTGATAAGAACTCATTTTGTACCCCTCATGGTTTGTACTCTAAACATTTTCATTTACCTTTAAATATTCCCAATACAAGGGCATTATAAATTTATTACTTTTTGCCAAAAAGAAACTAAAAACAACAACAACATTGTTAGTCCAATTTAGTTTATTGCGATAATTCGCCACCTTGTTGAATTTAATCTGACCGGAATAAAAATAACATGTATATCTATAGATTACGACCATTTAACAAAAAGGTAAACATTTAAGTGTACACATTTAGTTGCGGATTAATAGTCTACTAGTGTGGGTTAATGCAGAACGAAGTCAGTCAGTTGGACAGGCATATCCTTTACTTTTCCAGCCTTGCAATATGAAGTCGCAGACTTTTACCCTTTTGGCTATATTAGCCATTTTTGCAACAACCATTCCCCCGACGTATGGCATTATGGAGGATTCAATTATGGAATTTTTGGAAGAATTAAAAATGCGTATGTGCCATCCCATACCAAAATTTGGTTTACCAGCCTTGGATCCACTCACAATTGGCCATGTTGAAACCGAGATTGATAATAAATATTTTGTGGAGTAGGTATTCGTGAAGATATGTCCGTAATAATAAGTTAATGTTTTCGTTTCGTTTCAGTTTCTCAACTTCTGTAACAGATTTTGCCTTAACTGGCCTGTCCGATTTTGAGGTGCCCTCGTTGACAATAACCACCATACCCACTAGACGCTCAAGATTTGAAATAGTACTACCCAAAGTGGTGCTTAAGTCTTTGTACACCGCTAAGGGATCCATTGCCCGTGTTGTCAATTTGAATGGCGATGGCAATGCTGAGTAAGTTGAAAATTATTATGCCCTACACCATAGTTTGGAGGGTATTGAGTTTGTCACTCCGTTTGCAACTCCTCGAAATATACATTTTAGACCCCACAAAGTATATATATTCTTGATCAGCATAAAATTCTATGTCGATTTAGTGATGTCCGTCCGTCTATCCGTCTGTGAAAATCACTCTAGCGTCCGAACGAAATGAAGTAGGTTGATAAAATTGTACTCAAATGTATATTATGTCTGCAGGACTTTTGGTATTGAAAATGGGTCATATAGGTCCACGTTTTAGTATAGCCCCCAAATAACGATACTAAGAGAGAGGATACAACAGCCTAAGAGAGAAATTGTCTGTGCAGGTCCACGTATTCGTATAGCCCCGATATAACGGTAGCTCAAGATATTCGGTATTTTAATTTATTTTAGCGACATTATTCATCGGAATTGTTTTAAATTTGGTATTTAACGTTCGTAATGGATACTACAGCCTAAGACAGGAAATTGTGCTGTGCAGGTCCACGTCTTCGTATTGCCCCCATATAACGGTATCTCCCGATATTCGGTATTTTGGTGATTTTTTACCGATTTTTTTTTAATTTTTGAATATTGTACTGGCTTATGACAAATGTTACCTATGCAGGTCCATGTCGTCGTATAGACCCTAATATAACAACTACATTCGGTATTTTTAAGACTTTAACCGAATTTTTAACGGATTTTATTGTTTTCGAGTATTGCCAAATTCGTTCCAAATTATGGAGGATATTCAAAATTCAGCCCGGTCGAACTTACAGCTTTTTTACTTGCTAAAACTTTAAATTTCCTTTCTCACACTTCCGTTTTTTTTTTCTTTTTTGAATTAAAGTGGTTATGTTGAAAATGGAAGACTAGCTGTTTCCTGGATTTTCAATATTGGTCTCAGCAGTGTTCGTATTCGCAGTTTAACAATTGAGGTAAGCATAAATGAAATATAAAAATTCAATTCATTCCTTATGTAAAACATAAAAATGTATTTGTTTTGCAGATCAGTCTCGGTGGTCTTTACTTAAACATTGAAGATGTTGTTGAAGAGCCAAGAATCAATGAGTTCTTGCATGCCGTAATTAATGAATTGGGCATAGAGTTATTAAACGATGTGTGGGTGGAAGCACAAGAAAAGGGAGCTGTTAAATTTGTGGAAAATGTAAGTGAGATATGTGTTTACTAACGGCTATTTTTTTTTGAAGGGCTTTAATTTTCGGTTATATTTTATAAATTGATGTATATGATACATATTTTTGTAACTTTTACAGAAAATTAACAGCATAATAGGTCAATACTCTCTGGGCGATCTCTTGAAAATAATTGGAGGTATTGTGTCTGGTGGCGGTGGCGAAGGTGGCGGTCCCTTTGATGGCATTCCACCAGATTGCAAGGAGGCTATTGTTGCCGCTTAAGACTGGTTTTATTTTTTTTAAATCGATAATTTAGTATAAATGTATACAAAACTATAATATAGTGATATTTTCGGTTATTACCAACATTTTTTTATTGTTTAATCTGTTGCTAATATAAGAATGTTTAGAAAAAAAAAAAAATTGGCATTTGCCGATTATCGGTTATGATTATTGTATGATGATAATGGTCAGCCAGTTGGGGGCAAATGATAAGGTTTTATATTTATTGCTAAATTCCAGTAGATATTCATGCCAATTTCAAGAGTACATATATAACCGTTGCTGTTCTCATATTGATAAATATTGAAAATAGGTGTTAGAAGTACATAATTTTTTTTTTTTTTGCTATTAACTGCACTGAAGGTCAGTCGCACCACGCGTCCCCTTTTGAAATTAAGTGTTGTTGATAATTGAAATTGATTATAAGGTGCAATATGTACTGACAAAAACATTTAAGTTCATTCAGCAATTGTTTATTATCAAGTTCGCTGAATTTTCATGTAAACATTTTATTATATTATGTTCATTCAGCCATTATTTGTAATCAAGTTGGTATAATTTGCTCAATTATTATCATATAAGCATCATTATATCAATATTTTACTCTGAAAATATATATATTTTCGACGTATTTTAATCATTTTTAAATATTTAATATTTGGAGGAACAAAAAACATTTTCTCTTTATGTGTTGCCTAAAAATATGCTTTGAATTGTAATTGTAAACTGTTTTGTTGTCATAATGTAAGAACGGCCTAAATGATATCTGTAAACGACACAGTTCAGCAAAAGGAACTAGTTTTATAGTTCATTTAGATGAACGTAAGACATGTGGCTAGTTTACATTGGTTCAAATTTAATTTGTAGCTAGTTCCGCACTCTTTCAGTGAATGTGTTCAGTTTTCCTCATGTCTCATTCGTAAACAACAGAGTACCCCGGGGCCCGGGATTTTGCTTTCTGTTTATTTTTTATTATCAAATACCTATTTGGCCTTCATATGGGGACGTCTTTCATTTTTGTTACCCACGCGCACATTCGTTCTGTTTTGCAACAACCATGGTAGGAGAATATAGGTAGACGCATCGGCACAGCTGCTGGGACAGTGAACTGTCAAACAAAATTTGGAATTGAAATTTTAAAATGAATAATTATTCAAATGTCTAAAAATTGGTAAAAAAATTTGCATATCATAACAACCTCCGATTGGTGTAAGTAAGGTCTAACGAAGTAGCTTGTAGGCATTTTCGGTGAGGAGAGTCAGGAGAGACAACAATAGTTCTAACAGTCCATGGTACAATGAAGAGAAGGTAGGTCAACTTTGAAAAAAATGCAAGTATAGAGGTCTACCTGTTTGGCTTGTAATGTCAGAATTAGTATCAAAACATTAAAAAATCAAACAACTTGTTGCATTTATTTCGAATAAATAATTGAAAAACGCGATAACTGAATGAAAGGTCAACGTTTCTTTTCAAAATCGTGTACTATATATCTCTTAAGGATTATTTCGCTACAAAAACTCTAGATTTTGTCGATGCATACGTTGAAATAAACATTTTGAAAACACCCGAAATTGAATATTTTCTGAATAATTTTTTTGTTATTGAAAATAAAACAAATACCTAAACAAATAAAGATGACATATTAAGCCAAGAATATAAAAAAATTTAAATCATATGGTATCATAGCCCTACCTTGATATCATTGTACCATGTAACAGTCTCAATTTATGCTAATCGTTCACTTTGTATTTAAATGTGCCATCGAAAAGAAGAAGACTCAGTAAGGAAATTTCTTCAAGGAAAACATGAAAGCAATCGTGCAACGCGTTACCTCGGCGAAAGTTACAGGTGAGATGGGCAGAACGAAACTATTTTAAGGGACCGGATCTGTTCTGATATCCATGCGTTTGCCAGACATGAACGACGTGGTTTAACCTGATGACCTGACAAAATTCCGTGGCCCATATCCATATCTCAAGAGTTATTAGAACATATGTAATCAGAGCCCCAAAGACTATTTGTCAATTTGTAGTAAAACAAGTAAAAAAGCAGGCGGGCTGAACTTGTTATACCCCACACCACTCGGAAAGAACTTGAAATATTCCAAAAATCTGTCAAAAAATACCGCTTAAATGAAATCCTTTATATGGGAGCTATACGAAGACGAGACGTGGTGCAGGATAAATAATTTTACGCAATTCCGGTGAATAATTTCGCTAATAGTACTTTTTTTGTTTTCTGATTTCAATTTGTTTTCTCCTTGGAAATGAAAATACTAAATCATACCGGTCTCTTAAAATAGAATATTTGCCATAGATGACTTCGTTACATTTTTTAATTAATACTAAACTTTAAAGTGCCCCCACGAATTTGCAGTAAATGATAAGCTGATTAGTTCGATTGGTAGAGGTCTTTGTGTATTGGTTGGCATCACCCACAGCGACACTGAAAAGGATGTTGAATATCTGTAAGTACCTACTTCGTTGATTTGAGGTTGCCATGCTCTTAATAATTTTCGATTTTTTGCAGGTCTCGTAAATTGCTCTCGTTACGTTTGTTCGAAGACACCAGCGGTAAGCGTTGGCAAAAAAGTGTCCAGGATGAAAAATTGGAAATATTGTGTGTTTCACAGTTCACCCTGTACCATCGACTGAAAGGCAATAAACCAGATTTCCATATGGCCATGCAAGGGGATAAGGCTCAGCAGTTGTATCAAACGTTTTTGGAACGATTGGGCAAGTCATATGATGCGACGAAAATAAAAGGTATGTTGGTATATTTTGTGTATACTTTATAAGATAATTACTCGACATAAACGTATTGTTAATCAGCTTAATTGAACATATTTTGCACACTCAACTGCTTTCAAATTTTTACATTTTTTTTTAATTTTATTGAATGAAATCAAAAATGTCGGAATAGCATCAAATTTTAGAATAAGATTAGATTTGTTTGAATTGGTCACCTTTTTGTGTCTCGTACCATCGCTCGTTACCGTGATACTAGTACTGGTAGCGTAGCCCGACGTCAAGGAAGAAAACAGCAACATCAGCAGAAATGGTTCGAAAAGTCAAGAAGCGACTTGATCGAAACCCGCGTCGCTGTGGCCGAAAAATGACTCATGAGCTAAACATATCGCAATGTTCCATTCGGCAAATATTGAAAAATGAGCTCGGGGTAAAGCCATGGAATTTCAAAAAGTGCAAGAACATACACCACACCGAAACAGAAAGAAAATACACTCAAAAGGGCTAAAGAGTTGCTTTGCTTGGCCGAAAGTGTCGAACTGCTGAATTTGGTTTTCTCCGTTGTCCAGCAGTTTGTAAACAAACAAAATTATAATGTTTATTTGCTAAAGAGGACAGCTGAAAATGTGCACCTTCGGTTGGCCACCAGAACTCAAGCGCCGGCCATGGTGATGGTTTGGGCAGCCATAACAGCCGATGGTCGCTCTCCGCTCGTATTAATCGACATCACTCGTGGCATCAGAATAAATGCCGAATGATATCGCGAAAATATTCTGGAGGGTGTATTAAAGCCTTAGGCACGTAAACATTTTGGCCGCAAACCTTGGACATTCCAACTAAAATTTTTCTAAAATCTGATGCTATTTCCGACATTTTTGCTTTCATTCAATAAAATCGAACAAATTTTCCTAAAAACTATGTTTGTGATCCAAAAACACTCCAACAAATACTTTTAAGAATCCAGATTAATGGACTTTATGAAAAGTTGGTTCCTTCAAAAAAATCAAATAATACACGTTGGTATCGCCATTGGTCATTGAAAAATTACTTATAAATTCCACTTTTATAGCTCCATTGGTCCTCTTAAAATTATTTCCCAAAAATCGACCTTGTGTGCCGTTCAGAAAAATACTTCTTAAATAACAAATTTTGGTGGTCTGTTGGTCCTGAATCTGGCTAATTTATTTTGAATATGTGAATGACATTTTCTATAGTTACCTAAAATCGCCTCAAATGTTTTCATGTCTCTTCATCTGTCCGTTGCCTTTTCCATTACTTTTCCTTATTATTTTTTTTAATTCTTTTCTTATTTCAGATGGAAAATTTGGTGCCTACATGCAGGTTCATATACAAAATGATGGTCCAGTTACTATCGAATTGGAATCACCAATTGCTCCCGAAAAGAAATCAAAAGAGGCTACTACAACGAACGGCGTTGAAGATGAGAGTAATAAAGTATAATTTTTAATTCTGATATATTTAAAATGCAATAATGACGATGAAATGTATTTTGTTGTATATTAATTTATATTTCAATAAAATAAAAAAAATTAAAAAATTTCATATCCAGCTTATTTAGAATTGATTAATGTCGCTTGAGTGAGTAGCGCCTATGGATATGCTCTTCTTTACAAATGTTAGTGTAAATACGCCCAAAATTGTATGAAACATATTTTGATGATCCTAAAACTATGCTATACTTCCCAGAGCACTGCATTTAATTTGCGACGAAATTAACTGCCTTGCATTTCTGGGCGCCTAGTATTTACCCCAGAATTATTGGTTTTAAAATGAATGATCAGTGTGGACAATTTAGCGTTTTTAATTTTTTTTTGCGTTTTTAAGGAGCATTGAAAAATGATGCGAATAGCAGAATATCAACAACCTTCAGTATTTTTGCCATAACAGCCGATGGTCGCTCTCCGCTCGTATTAATCACTCTAGCTTCCGAACGAATTGAAGTAGATTGGTAAGATTTTGCTGAAATGTATATAATGTCTCGGGACTTTTGGGCCTTGTAGGCCCTCGTTTTGGTATATCCCCCATATAACGGTACCTCCTGATATTCGGTATTTTGATGATTTTAGCGACATTATTCACCGGGATTGTTTCAAATTTTCAAATATTTGAAGTTCGTAATGGATACTACAGCCTATGACAGAAAATTGTCTGTGTAGGTCCACGTCTTCGCCCAATATAACGGTATCTCCCGATATTCGGTATTTTAATGATTTTAGCTACATTATTCATTTTATTCAAGTTTCGAATTTGAATATTGTTATGGTTTATGAGAAAAGTTTCCTATGCATGACCACGTTGTCGTATAGACCCTAATATAACAGCTGCATTCGATATTTTTAAGATTTTAACAGAATTTTTAACGGATTTTATTGTTTTTGAGAATTGCCAAAATCGTTCCAAATGGTGGAGGGTATTCAAAGATCGGCCCGGCCGAACTTACTGCCGTTTTACTTGTTCATTGTTGTTGTATTCTATGTTTTTCTATTTTTATGTTATAAAATATTTTTCGAACCCACACCCTAAAATGTATACTTACTTTATTCGAAATATATTTACCTCCCACAAAAAACAATAAAACTCGACATTTTTTTTTTTTTTTAATTTTTTATATAAGAAAATTTTTTATTAAACTTTTATTTTGTTTTTAAATTACTGCTGAAATTTTTACAATTGAGAGTTGAATTTTCCATCCATTTTTTGGGGGTTGTATTATGATGATGATAAGTGGGGGGTGGTGGTGTGTATGGTATTATTATGTTTGGATATATAATTATTATTGTTCCTAACAATTTGTTTTTTTGCTTTAAAAAATTTTAGTAGTTTTCAAAACTGATTAGACAATTATTGTTAAAAATATTTTGAAAAAAAATATAAAAAGGATATTAGAACTGAAATTTGGAAAAAATACGCATGAGCAAGATTATGGAGGAGGAGAGTTAAAATTTAACTTAAAAAAAATCCATTACAAAAATTTCCTTTTTTTCGTGTAAAAAAAGTAAGTAATAATTAAGATTAAATGATGATTATCATTATTATTATAATTATATAGTTATAATATATATTAAAGAAATATAATAAAATATATGTATGTTGTAGTAATGGGACAAAGTTTATGATGGATTGTTATTTAAAAAACAAAGATATTCAAAGTACAAGCAAAATATAATGTAATTATATATTTCTTCCTCAAATGAATATAATAATGTATGTATGTGTGGTGTGAGATGAGTGAATTACAATAAGTTTTTTTTTAATGTTGTAATGAGTTTTTATAAATGATGGATTTGGTGTCTTTTTGTTATTATTTTTTTTAAGAGAGAAAAAACCAAACATTTTTTGTTCTTTTTTTTTGAAAATCTAAAAAAGCCACCAAGATTTAGAAAGGCCACAAATAATCCAACCAAAAAAAAATGTTAACATAAAACAGGGGGGTTTTGGGAATTTAGAAAGCAATTTAAATTTGAAGTCATTACAACAGTTTCTTTCAAAAAACAATTTTGCAAAATTCGGTTTTCTCTTTGTATTATTAATGGCTAATACAAAGAAAATTCGTTTAAGTGTTTCGATTTGGGTTTCTTTTGCAAAATGTTTTCCTTTCGTTTTTATTTTTTTTAATTAGTTTGCTTGCTCTTATGGATTAGTATTTGAAGCAACAGTTGTTATTGTATTTTAAAATATTGGTTGATAATTATTTCGTTTTGAGTCCATTTTCGTTTAAAATTATATAATTTTATGCTAAAAACTGCATAAAAAACAATTTTGTGATATTTGTGTTTCCGAAAGGTTGCTTTCTTTTGGGGTATATGGGAGATGCTGAGCCTGAAGTAATCCTGGTCCTGGATAATGATGTATGAGGCAGCGGGCTTACAGTGTGATGATAAAAGCTTTCCCTTTTTATCAATGTTCAGATAGTTTTTCGGTTGTTAAAATTGTTTTGTTTTTTTTTTTTGTTTTTGGATGATTATTACATTTTGTGACGGTTTGTGTCCTAGAGTTAATTCATTATTCCCTTTATAATTATTAAAAAGTTTACTTTTGGATTTTGCTTTTTGTTTGTAGATGTTGTTGTTTTCAAAAAAACTATTTTTTTTTGCAGCAGAATTGGTTTCGTTTAGTTATTATCTTCATTATTGTTGAGTTTCTCTTAAAAATTGTATGTTCTCTTTCTCTCTTCTTGTTGTTGATCTCTCTCCAGTTGCCATAAACGACGGTTTGGTTGGTTCTCTAAAGGGGTTTCTCTTTAAAAATTTCGCTGCTGCTGATTCCGTTTAGTAGAAAAATTCTAGTTGACATTTTGTCGTTGATTGCTTTTAAAGAGTTTTAGTTGTTGTTTGAATTTTTTTGTTGCTTTTTGATTGTGACACCAGAGAGGGAGAGTTGTAATCCTAAATTTAGTTGATTATAACGCAAACAAGACACACTGTAGACACATTTACCAGAGACCCGAAGAGAAACCACCGGGGGGAATACGATTTTTATTGATGACTTGATTGGCACCATTCAAGCTGGGTGTATGATTTGAGAAATCATTGTTCTTGGTATAACCTTCACCGGTGACGGGATTACCATCTAAAAAACGAGAAGAAAAACATGAAAATTAATAAAGAATTCCAATACAAGTTTCGTAGGAAAAAAAAATTTCTGTGAAAAGGAGGGGGGATGGAGGGTGTTAAGGGGCTGGAGAATACATACAGAGAACAGGCGAAATTTATAAGAGAAAGAAAGTCTTATGGATGTTCTACAAGAGCTTTGGAAAAGTCTACAAGACATTTAGAAAGACCTACAAGACCTTTAAAAAGGTCTCCATACATTTAAAAAGGTCTACACGACCTTTAAAAAGGTGTCCACGACATGTACAAAGGTCGCCACAACCTTTAAAAAGGTCTCCATGAATTTCAGAAAGGTCTCCACGACCTTTTGAAAGGCTTCTACGACTTTTGGAAAAGTCTCCATGATCTTTGTAAAAGTCTCCACGACCTTTGTAAAGGTCTCCATGACTTTTGAAAAAGTCTCCACGACCATTGTAAAGGTTTCTTCGTCATTTACAAAGGTTTCCACGACCTTTACAAAGATCTTCACGACTTTTAGAAAGGTCTAGAAGACCCTGGAGAGTTTACAATATCTTTGGAAAGCTCTCCACGACCTTTGGAAAAGTCTCCACGACCTTTAGAAAAGTCTCCACCACCTTTAGAATGGTCTCTACGACCTTTAAAAAGGTCTACACGACGCTTGGAGAGTTTACAATATCTTTAAAAAGGTCTCCATGAACTTTGAAAAGGTATTTAAGATTTTTGGAAAGGTCTCCACGATCTTTGAAAAAGTCTACAAGACCTTTGGGAAGGTCTGCAAGGCCTTTAGAAGAATCTCACAACTTTGGGAAATGTCTAAAAGACTTGGAAATGTCTACAAGAGACCCTTAAGAATGTCTACAAGACTTAGAAAAAGGGAAATTATCACCTCTACGAGTCTTTGGCTTGATCGGCTTCCAGCCACCAACACCATCGCCACATAGACCCAAACCTATTAAGGGATTGCGAGACCCAGCAGTTGCTTTTGAGGCTGTACTCATATCAACACATTCGGAAATGCTACCACGTTGATAGTTCCGCGTTGCATCATTTGATAGAGAATTTTGAAATTTGGTCGATAATGAAATTGGATTATCAGAATTAGAAGCCGTCGAGGTGTGTGTTTGACTGGCGAGAGATTGAGAGCCCAAGTTTGTTGCGATGCTACTACTTTGGGAACATGGTGGTGGTGTTGCATTTTGAAATTCTTGCGAATTCGGTTCATTGCAATTCGGAATCGGTGACTCGTAAGCTTCGGGATTTCTATGTTGGGGAGATTGCTCCGAAAGCGTCGAAGATGGCGATGATGATGGGCATTGATAGTCAGTTTCCGTTTCTAAAAAGTGATGGGGGATTTGGGGTTTAGGATTTTATTGTGATTGGGATAAATGTATTTGGTTTCTTTTACTTACTACTCATTTTGCGATGATAAACTAGATTTTATTTTTTGTTTAAACAAAAAAGATTGCAGCGTGCAGAAAAAAAGATTTTTTTTAAAGAAAGTTTGATATTTTTATGAAGAAGAAGCGTGATTATAGGCTATATTTGTTTTATGCTAATTTTTCTTATTTTGAAATATTTGTCACAATTTTATTTCAGTGAAAATTATTTTTGATTAAAATCAACATAGTAAATGTGTTGGAAATAAAAATACAAGGGCAAAACTACTTTGAAAATAATAATAATAAAAAAAAATAAATAAATAAATAAAAATAAAATAGAACAAAAGGTCTTCAAGGAAAAGAAGATCTTTGAGAGGTTTTAGGAAATGGAACACTTTTTAAAATCCTTTAGAGACATATTAGTCTTGTAGATGGAGAAACCCTCCTTCAAAACGTTTTCTAGAGATGAAATTCTCTCAAAATGGCATTTATCAGAGACAAATATTGCAGAAGGCAGTAGTCCTTTTATTTGCCTTCTAGAGAGGCAATATCTTCAAAACGTGTTTTAGAAAAGGTTTTGTCTCTTTTAGACACAGAAGACCCCGAAGAAAATGGGATTTGTATCTGCTTTATTCGTCTATTAGATAGAGTGGAATTTCAAAATATTTTCTAGAAGGGCTGAATTGTTGTAAAGGTCTTCTAAGGGCCAATATGCCTTTCAGAGGTGGAATATTCTAAAAAGTCTTCTGGAGACAGAAAAAGCTATTTAGAGACAAGACACTGAAAATAAAGCCTTCAAAATGCATTTAGAGGTCTCCTCATTAAAACTGTCGTCACACAGCTTACAAGAGAGAAAGAGAGAGAAGACCTGCAAGAAAAAGAAGATTGAAAATGTCTTTTAGAGATAGAATACCTTCAAAATGTATTTTGAGACAGGAGGTTTGGAAAGACCGTTCAAAAGCAGGGAATCGGTCTTCAAGGGCACTCTCCAGACATAAGACCTAAATGTCTTTTAGAAAATAAAGACCTTCGAAAGGTTCAGAAAGATATGGTCTTCAAAAGGATAAAGATTTTCAAGGGGGTCTTCAGAGACCAGGAGACCAGCAAAAGGTCTACCACAGATAGAAGTCATTCAGCTGGGTTTTCAAAAACATATGACTATCAAAAGATTATTCAGAGACAAGGGGTCTCCATGGAGTTTTTGAGACCTAGAAGACATTCGAAAGAACTTTCAGAGAATGTAGACCTTCTTTCAGACACAAGAGATCTTCAAATTGGGTTTTCAAAAACATAGGAATATTAAGAGACCTTTCAGAGACGGGAGATCTCCGGATGAGTTTTCGAGACTGAGAATATCTTCAAAATGACTTTCAGAGAATGAAGACCTTCAAAAAGTCTATCAGAGATCGGAGATCTTCAAGGGGGGGTTTCTACAGAAAAATATCTTCCAAAACGTTTTCAGAGACATGAGACCTTAAATGGGTCTTTCCAGTAAGAGTCGACTTTCAAAAGGGTTTTCGAGCACAAAGGACTATTAAAAGGCCTTCAGAGGCAGGAGGTCTTCAAAAGGGTTTTCGAAACACGGAAGTCTTTCCAAATGACTTTCAGAGAATGAAGTCGTTCGAAAGTCTTACAGCATGTCTTCGATGGGGGTTTCTAGAGATAAAGACCTACAAAAGGGCTGTCAGAGACAGGAAACCGCCAAAAGGGGCTCTCGAATAGTAGTCGACCTTCAAAAAGATTTTTAGAGACAGAGGATAATTAAAACCTCATTCAAAGGAGTTTTCGAGGCACAGAAGACCTTCTAAATGTCGTTTAGAGAATGAAGGCCTTCGAAAGGTCTTTCAGAGAGGGAAAAGGTCTTCAAAAGGGGTTTCTTGAGAGAGATAGAAGTCATTCTACTGGGTATTCAAAAACAGAGGACTATCAACAGACCTTTCAGAGACAAGAAGACTTCAAAGGAGGTTTTAAGAGCCAAAAGGTGTTTCAAAGACAACGGACTATCACAAAACGTCTATCATGGCAGGAGATCTTCAGGAGAGTTTTCGAGAAAAAGAAGATTTTTAAAATGTCTTTCAGAGAATGAAGACCTTCGAAAAGCGTTTCCAGAGACACAAATGTCTTCAAACGAATCTTCGAAGACAGGGGCCATTATATTATCTTCAAAGGGGCTCTCGAGTAATAGTCGATCTTAAAAAAGGGGTTCCAGAGACAGAGGTCTATTAAATGGCCTTCCAGAGACGGGAGATTTTCAAAGGCGGTTTCTAGAGAAGGATGCCATTAAAGGGGATTTCAGGGAGAGGAGACCATCAGAAAGTTTTTCAAAGATAGATGACCTTCGAAAAGTGCTTTCGATTAATAGTCCTCGTCAAAGAAGTTTTCGAGTCATAAGACGTTCAAAATGAATTTCAGAAACAGAGGACTTTTCAGAGACAGAGGTGTGGTCTCCAAAGCGAGTTTCTTGAAACAAAGAAGTTTAAACATTTTTGCTAGCACCTTAAAATATGCTATAAAGAAACGACAATTGAAAAACTAATTTTCCACAATAAAAATGATACGCTTGGAAAATTTGTTCCGGCCAATATTTATTGAATAAATAAACAATAACAAGGCAACAATTATACAATTAAAAGAAATTACAATTACAACAAATTCCAATCAATAACATAAACAATAATAACAATAAAAATAGAAAAGGCTAACTGGGCATGACACAACAAAACACACCCACCTCCAAGAATATGAGAACTTTTAAAAGAAAATTTTAAAAATTTCAAGAAAATGAAAATAAATTTATATCCTTCTCACCTGTTTTGGAGTAACCATTCATCTTCAAGTTCTCAGTTGATGAAGAGACCGATGACGAGGCCGAAGATACCGATGAACTCTTGCCATTATTGTAGTGATGACCATTGCCATTGGTGATCAATGTTTGAGCGGCTTCATTGTTAGCACCGAATGGAATGTTGCTTCTCATGTGATTCTTGGCGGGGGTGACAACGCGCTCTGGTTCACCGAATAGACGTTGATATGAGTCAACATTCTTTTGAGCGCGACGTGGTTGATCACCTGTCAATGTTTTGGGGGAAGGGAAGGAAAACAAAAATAAAATAAAATATTATTAGTAATGAATATTTTTGTGAAAATTTTAAAGAAAACAAAGTTATTTGAAAGAAAATGTTAAGAGTTATTAAAAAATATATGGAAACCATTAAAACTAACTATTAATACTACTACAAATAAACAACGTGTTTTGGGTATTAGTCAAAATTTGAATTTGAAATCGCTAGTTATATATATGTTTTGTGCAGTATTTAATAATTTAATAAATATTTATTTTGGTTCGAATTGAGATTTCAAATGTCCAAGCATGTGAACATCACAAAATTTAAAATAATTCTATAATAAGCTCTCTTCCAGAACCTGCAAGAATCTACTATTATTGCAATTTTTCGATATCATAAATTCTTGCAGTTCTGGAATAGACCAATAATGTATCTAATAAATTACGAAACAAAGAATTTCCTCTCTTAATCTGAACTGCAAAAACGTAAAAGTTTTTGCTACGATAACCGATTTTACCTTTATATCAAAGAAAATTGTAAAAAATAGTAGATTCTTTCAGGTATTGAAACAGGGCACCTTTTATTCTCAGAGATATATCAGAAAATCGACAGATAGAACATGTCTATATTATTTAGGTTTTATAAACCATCTAGTTTTAGGAATCCCATACGCCAGGGTTTTGTCGGTCAAAAGTTAAAAGAAGTGAGGAAAATAAGTTCATATCTTTCTGATTTGTATTTTTTAAAAAATAAATCTTAATTTTGAAGCATCGTCCAATGAGGATGAAGATCTTTGGTCTATGTGTAAAGCATTAGAACTTTTCCCCTACTCATAAATTATGGGAATTTTCTCAAGTATACAAAATGCCTGAAAGTATGCAACCATACATTAAACTTTGTGCTTCACACAAAATATCTGACTACCAAGATTACTGGTCCCTTCCAGAACACATTCGAGAATCTGCTTATATCGTATTTTTATATCATCATCAAGGGAAAATCCCTTATCGTGTAGTAATATTTATTCATTCTTGATGGAGAATTGTGTTAAAAAAGTGAGATATTGATAAAAAATGAAAGCTAGAACAAAGAGACCAGTTGACAAACCAAATCAAAAACTCACTCACAAGAGCTCACTTTGTCCAGTTTTTAATAATTGTCAATAATGTCTTCTCATCCATAAAATGGGAAATCGCTTCCAGCAGATTATGAAAGTAAAGCTAAAACTAGTAGACACGTGTATTGGAGTTTTGAAATTTTTACATTGCAAAGCAGGCCAAATAGAGGGGATATGTTCCCCTCTTTTCCACATTTTTGAAAGTTTTCAGATTAAGATTCCTTGAATTCCGTTGATTTTTGGTACACAGTGTCTTCGCCAATATTGCAGATAGAAGCTCTAGGATTATTTTGACCAATAATATTAAACCTCGCTTGAAGCTCAAGGAGTCTTTATTGTCCTTTTTATACCCTTCAGCATAGCATGGAGGGTATATTGAGTTTGTCATTCCGTTTGTAACACATCGAAATATACATTTTAGACACCACAAAGTATATATATTCTTGATCAGCGTAAAATTCTATGTCGATTTAGCGACGTCCGTCCGTCTGTGGAATGCATTAACATCTGATCGAAATGAAGTAGGTTGATAACATTTTACTCAATTGTATATTATGTCTGCAGGACTTTTGGTATTGAAAATGGGTCATGTAGGTCCATGTTTTGGTAAAGCCCCCATATAATAGTACCTTCCAATTTTCGGTATTTTGGTGATTTAAGCGACATTATTCACCGGAAATGTTTCAAATCTGGTATTTGAAGTTTGTAATGAATATTACAGCCCATGACAGAAAATTGCCTATCGAGGTCCAAGTCTTCGTATAGCCCCTATATAACGGAACCTCCCGATATTCGGTATTTTGACGATTTTAGGGCCAATGTTCACCGGAATTGTTTCAAATTTGGTATTTGAAGTTCGTAATGGATACTACAGTCTATGACAGGAGATTGTCTGTGCAGGTCCATCTCTTCGTATAGCCCCCATATAATGGTACCTCCCGATATTCGGTATTTTAATAATTATAGCGACTTTATTCACGGGAATTGTTTCAAATTTCGTATTTGAAGTTCCTAATAGGTACTACAGCCTATGACAGAAAATTGTCCATGCAGGTCCACGTCTTCATATAGCCCCCGATATAACGATATCTCCCTATATTCGGTATTTTTATGATTTTGTGAAATTATTTACCGGAATTTTTTCAAGTTTCTTCTTTGAATATTCGTCTTCGTATAGTCCCCAAGTTAATCGTAACTCTCTATATTTTCTGACTTTTTTTTGCTATTTTAACAATATTTTTCAACGTATTTTTTTAATTTCCAAATTCCTTCCAAATGTTGGGTGGTATTCAAAGTTCGGCCCGGCCGAACATACTGCTTTTGTATATGTCATTTTTTTAATTTAAAATTTGAATAGCTTAACTTTTGTGGCGGTGTGGGTCGCTAGAATAATCTACTGAAAATCTACGTAAGTGTGATCTGTGTAAACTATATATAATGTTATACACAAAAATGCAAAAAAGAAAATACAAATAAAGGGTGTATTTTCTACTTTAGCTGCAGATCTTAAGGTTAAAGCAGATCAAAGCTTAAATCGTGAGTTTGGTGTGAAAATACAACACCTGTGTCACTATCTGTTAGCTGATGACAGTGTTGTATTTTCATGTTGCGTTCAGCCAAAAAAAAAAGGCAACAGTGTTGTATTTTCACACCAAAATCACAATTTAAGCTTTGATCGGTTTCGCTTTTTAATGTTATTAGAGGAGGGGCGTGGGATGGCGGCGCGGTGGGGGTAATGTGAGATTTCTGTTTTAATTGCAGTTAAGTCCTGATCTATACCAGACACTTTTACTTATAGCAGCAATTTGGAAGTTGAAATTTGTAAAATAAAATAAATTGCTCAGTCTGAATCAAGACTAAGAAAAAAAGTGTTGTTGTTTTTGCCATTTGATTAGTGCGCTGAATATATTATTTTGCTGAGTAGTATTGCGGTGTGCGTGAGTGTGTGTAAAAGAGATTTTAATTTGGTTCGGAAATAAACGACAGCAAAATCATTAAATTTTTGTGGTATTATAACACAAGGTAGGCTATGCCAAAAAGTAGTGAACATTGTGTCGCTTTAAGGATTAAACTTGTGTTTTTTTATTAAAAAAACGGGGAACTGCATTAAAACAATTTAACAAACAACAATAACAAAGAAACAAAAAAAAAAAACACAAAAGAGACAATTTATTCTAACAATAACAACAACAACAATACCGATGAAATAGAATCTGTGAGCTCCTTGTCGTACTGCACATTTTGTGTGACGTTTTTTATTTTTTTTTTAGGTACGGATATCCATCAAAAAAGGAGAACAGAAGAAATGGATTCATATTCGATATTAAAAAGAGAAGGAAAGAAAGAAAAAAAGAAGAAGACAAATGAGACAAAGGATTCTTAATGAGTTTCTTTTTCACTTTTTTTCTGTTGGTTAAAAAGAAAAAAAAAAAAAACTAATAAAAAAATAATATACATATACAAAATGAAAAAAAGTAGAACGAAAGGTAAGCAAAATATTTGTATATACATTAAAATAAATATTTATGATATGGCATTATGTTTCTTTTTTTGGATCAAAGCCTTATTATAATTACTTAATAAATTTTACAACACAGAATATATAATAAAGGAAGCATTAATATTTTATATAATAATAAATGTATTTAATAATATGTATTAAGTAGCCATAAAAATGTGTTGAAAAGCTGTAAAATATATTGAAAATATTTCGCTTTGAATATTTTTTCCAATCAGAAAACCTACCGTTGTTTTTGATGCTATCCTTCTCGCAAGAGAAAATGTTTGATTGCATGTGATTTTTGACATTGCGTGGAGTTTGTGGCAAGTCACCTCCGAAAATGTCACTGGTGCCACCACCTGGAGGTCTCAAAACCCTAGAAAAAAGAAGAAGGAGATATAAATTAATTTCGTTTTCATTAAAATACAAATATTTAATAATTAAAAATAGAAATTTAATTATGAAATTAAACAGTTATAAGAAATAAGAGCTTTTTTCTAAACTAACACCATGTTTACATTCATGTCCAGTTGACTATGATGTACATCAAATATATAACCGTCCAGAGTTTGAATATAAATGTACGGAGTGAGGTAAAAACAAGTAAATAAGTAAAAATACCGAATGAAGCCGGTGAATCATGTCGCTAAAATCATCAAAATACCGAATGGAGGGAGGTACCATTTTATGGGGGCATACCAAAACGTGGACATGCACTGACTGTAGTATCCGTTACGAACTTCAAATACCAAATTGGAAACAATTACGGTGAATAATGTCGCTAAAATTATCGAAATACCGAATATCGGGAGGTACCATTATATGAGGGATATACAAAGATGTGGACCTGCACAGACAATTTTCTGTCATAGGCTGTAGTATCCGTTACAAACTTCAAATACCAAATTTAAAACAATTCCGGTGAATAATGTCGCTAGACATAATACAAATTGTTCTGCCAAATTTTGAAGCTCTACGTCGAATAATATGGGCTGTATCGTGATTTCAACAGAGAGACAGACAGACAATTTTTGCTTTCATTCAATAAAATTTGAAAAAAAAAATAATAAAAATTATGACGTTTGCTTTTTCGCAGTTTTTTTTTTTATCTCAACCTGTATATCACGGTCAAGAGTTTCAGTATAAATGTCGTAGCACCAATAGCAATCGTTAAAATGCTACTTTATTGCCTATAGCGCCATACACACGTTTTTGCATGCTAAATCGAAATAATGTAGATCCAGTTAGGAAATAAAAAATATGCACATAAATAGCTCGCATCCAATCAAGAAACTTCAAAGAAAGAAAAGAAGATGCAGCCGCTTATTTAATTAGCAATTACTTAATTTAATTTTGAGCCTCTTGTGCAGGCACCTCCTCATTTTAACTGGTTTTGGCTCTATTCATGCATGCCATGTTATTTATGAGCCGCTCGCAGTCCGAAACATTACAATCAATATTTGTTTAATGCGACATGGGAGGGAATGTTTGGAATCTGCTCAGAATTAGGAAATGATTTGCAGAATAATATGTATAAAGAAGGGGCGTATTATGTTTAAAAATAGCTTGGAACGGTTTTCATGTAGGTTTGGAAACTGTGTTGTTTAAATAGTACTGTCTTTTGGGCTGACGTAAGAAAACAAAAGCGTCCCACAGGCACACACACAACACGAAGTAGAATACCAAAGCCAAAATTAGTAGCAAAACACAGCTGATTTGACTCAACAGCAATGTTAGTATCAAATTCGAACTGACGTTTTGGGATTTAATTTAATTTTTCGATATAAAAGGTTTAAGCAAGGGCAATGTGTAGAATTTTTTCCATTAATTGTTGTTGTAAGACTCATATATGGAGAAAAGTGTCAAGTTATTCGGATATTTAATATACTCTCTGTCTCTATTCTAAATTGGTGTAATTAAAAAAAAAAACTGAATTACATAATATTATGCACTTTTGTAACAATTAGTTTTATTTTTATTAAGATTTTTATCCATCAAAGTCCAATGAACTGTTGCTACAATTAAAATAACATTATTGAGTAATTTCAAAAACCCCTCTGTAGTAATAGCTGCTAAATTGTATAATTGAGCAAACATGCAGCAACAAAACATGAAAATGACCGCGCTCGGCCGTCGTAGCCATCTAACGATAAAAATCTTTAACGTCATTAAAGTGGTCAAGAAAATTAGAAAAAAGCAAAAACGCAACCACACACATGTTGCTTGTTTGGTGATTAAACACCTATCCTATAATGGAAAAAACACCACCATCTTAGCCAACACACAAAAACAACAGCAGTAACAACTAGGAATATTAGCCACAATAATTAAGAATTTAAGCGACACGTAAAGATAATGTAAAGGTAAGAGGCTCCGCCGGGGAGGAAATACTCATTAGGAATGGTTCGTTGCCAAGACAAGTCAGGGATTTGAAGATGAGAAGGGTGAATTTGACATTTTTTTTTTAAAAAATACGTATTTTTTATATAAAACAATAACGTTTATTGAATAAATGCCATTCGATGATTTGTACATGTTAGAGCACTAATTGGTATCAGGCTGTAAATTTGTAAGCCAGCCCTGCATTGTCTTATTTTTCTTTTTGCTTTTTTCCATGTCCAAGAACATGTAGGCCAAAGTTTATGTCAAATCATTATGACTGCGCAAAATAGCTAATCATATGACTAGACATTTTTTAATCATTCCAAAAGAAAGCTGTTATTTCTTTATGGGAAAATGAGGTAAATACTACCTAAACGAAGAAAAAAACAAAAAACAATGTTTGCTTGGAACAGTTTTCATTAGGGATATTGATGTAAAGAAAACAGAGCTTTTGAGAGAAAGATAGGGAGAGAGGAATATTCCTCTTTTCAATGTATTCCTCTTCTTAATGACAAATTTTAAATGGCATCGTGATAAACTCTTTCAAATTAGGTAGCACTGTTCATTATAGGCTGGGGAACTGTAGCAAACGCCAGCAGTGTTTTTTTAACATAGTAGTAAGGGTGCAAAGGCTTTTTAGAATGTAATCATGTTTGTTCGAAGTAACGGGCAAGAAAGCCTCTGTCGCCGTGCCGAAGCGCATAGAGCTTTGCATTGTCTTATTTTCCTTGTATTTTTTAAATGTCGAATAATATGTAGGCCAAAGTTTGAACTCATTATTACGTGGCAAAATAGCTAATCATATGACTAGACGATTTTTTAGAAAGGATTCCCAAAGGAAACTGTTATATTAAGAGAACGAGGTAAGTATTAACTGAACGAAAAGAGCTAAAAACCAAATTAGTATGGAACGGTTTTTATTTAGGATGTCAAGTGTTGATGTAAATGAAACAGACTTTTGAGAGAAAGAAAGAATATTTCTCCACTCAATGTAATTTACCTCGCCAATAACAATTTTTAGTGGAGTTGCAATGTGAACCCTTTTAAATTAGGTAGTACTGTTAAATATTAGTAGGAAACGGTTTTTATTTTGGCAGCAAACGCCAACCGGGGGTAATATGTTAGTGTGCATTATAGTATTGAAATACGAAACTTGTTACAATTCCGGTGATTAATGTAGTCAAAATCATCAAAATACCGAATATTGAGAGGTACTATTATATGGGAGCTATACGAAGACCTGGACCTATATTGGCAATTTTCTTTCATAGACTGTAGTACCCCTAAGGAACTTCAAATAACAAATTTTTAACGAAATTTGAAACATTTCCGGTGAATAATGTTGCTAAAGTCATCACAATGCCGAATATAAGAAGGTACAGTTATATGGGGGCTATACCTAAACCTGGACCTATATAGCCCATTGTCACTATCAAAAGTCCGACAGACCACACACTTTTTAGTAAAATTTTATCAACCTACATCAATTTATTCGAAATCTAGAGTGATTTCACCAAACGGACGGACATAGCTAAATCGAAATAGAATTTTATGCTGATCAAGAATATGTATACTTTGTGAGGTCTAAAATGTATATTTCGAGGTGGAGGGTATAAAAAAGATAAAAAAGATCTAATGCGGAACGGTTTTCATTTAGGATGGATACCCACTTTTTTATTTGCTGCGAACGATTTTTATTTCGGTAGCAAATGCCTTATTTTCTCTATAGAATGCAATCGCGGTTTAGTTATTTTTTAACACAATAATAAATAAAAAAATACATTTACATAAATTACAAATAATTTGGTAATAAATATTCGAATGTAAAATTTAATTAAAATCATATAATAAATTGTAATATAAAATAACTTATATATATAAAGCCAGTGAGGTCTTCATCCTTCCTTATCCATTTTTTTTAACAAATTTTCTTAATTTTCCGATTTGTTCATATTTAAAATTACGCTGTTAATAATAGTATATTAGCAATTGTGTAGTCTCCAGCAAGTGTCATAACATTATATTTGGCCCTAATTGAAAAAAACACAAACCCCCATCACCATAATAATCTAAGCAGAAAATTGTTATGCATACTTTGTTTTGTAAGGAAAATAAAAAAAAAATTGTGGTATGGAAAATTTGCAATTGACATGCAACAATGCACAAGAAGAAGTTACATCTTCCCATGCTAATGCATTGATTGATCAAACAACACCAACGTCCTCTCTTGCCTGCCTTCTCTATCCCCCCAAAGGTAACGCCAAGCCAATGCCATTAAGGCGTTGTGGTGGAAAAACTGCATTGTAATTATTTCTCTACTCAATGCAAGAGTCAAAACTACTCTAGTAGATCCCCACACATTTTGGGAAATATTGCATCCTCCATCATCATCATCATAAATGAATGGGTCGTCTTATGGCAAATCTCAAAGGAGTTTGCTTGGCTGCAGTCATCATAGGCATCAAAGTAGTTCCACCAGCACATCTATGTGCTTGATCTGTCTGTCTGTCTCCATCATTTAATATTACCAGACTCCAGTTGTTGCTGCTGTTGGCATTTTATAGATTCGAATGGATTAGAGCCAGACAATTGGCTTCCTAAAATAAAAAAAAAAAAATACAAAAACCAAAATCTGCAACACTTCAATGCCAATTTTTTGTATTGAAAAATATTGCCAATGGAATATAAGTGGTTGAACGGCTGCTGGATGGCGGCTTGTCTAGCGATTATTTAATCAAGAAATCATTTTTTTGCTATTTAATGCAGAACCTACAACCCGCCAGCCAGTAGTAGCATTCGTTACAGTTGTTTTTTTTTCTCATTTTTCTCCTTTGTTGCTTGAATGTATTTAGATGGGTAACAATGTTTGACATTTGTGTTTTTTTGCACTTTGCACAATTGGCGCGAAGTTAAAAAGAGATGCAAAATATGACAAATACCCGGTTACTTTGGCTTTTAAGAAGGTTCTAATAACTGCAATATGAGTTGAAATAT